TTTTATATTATTATTTATTTTTTTACTGTTGGGGGCTTCAGGGAAATATTAGAGATCTAAACAGACCCCTGACATTTACCTTTTAAAATAGAAAAAGAAATTGAGGACACAGAGTCCTCAATTTCTTTTCCTGCAGCCTCTGTCCTAAATGAATGGAGAGCTCTTAGTACAGAGGCTTCCCATTCATTCAGAAACTGATGATAGTAAACTATTTACTATCACCAGTTTATGAATGGGTGGAAGCCTCTATAGTGAGTTCTTCCACCCATTGAGAAATTTATGAATGAACAGGAAGTGATCTAAAGCACTTCCTATTCATTCATAACGGGGGGGACATAGAGGCAGGGGGGATCCGAGAAGAATGACAGTGCTGAAGTGGGGAGGCAGAGGAGGGAGCACTGTCATGTCGGATGGCCGAGTGGTGAGGAGGAGAGAAGCCGCAGGCTGTGCCGCCCCAAGGACGAGCTGCGTTGACCGCCTGGCGCCCTTCCTGCCATGGAGCCCTGTGCGGCCGCCCAGCTTGAACACCCCAAAGGCCAGCCCTGCCCCCCACACTACTTCAAGATGAGAAAATGCTCAGTGAAAGCCAATATATATATATATACACTATATTCATTGGATTCAGGTGTTCCAATCACCTCCATGGCTACAGGTGTATAAAATCAAGCATCTAGGCATGCAGACACTTCTACAAACATTTGTGAAAGAATGGGTCACTCTCAGGAGCTCAGTGAATTCAAATGTGGTAACGTGATAGGTTGCCACCTGTGCAATAAGTCCATACGCAAAATTTCCTTGCTACTAAATATTCCACGGTCACCTGTTAGTGGTATTATAACAAAGTGGAAGAAACTGGGAACAACAGCAACTCAGCCACGCAGTGGTAGGCCACATAGAATGACAGAGTGAGGTCAGCACATGCTGAAGCGCACAGTGCGCAGAAGTCGCCAACTGACTGCAGAGTCAATAGCTACAGACCTCCAAACGTCGTGCGGCCTTCAGATTGGCACAACCACAGTGCGTAGAGAGCTTCATGGAATGGGTTTTCATGGCCGAGCAGCTGCATCCAAGCCTTACATCACCAAGTGCAATGCAAAGCGTTGTATGCAGTGATGTAAAGCACACCGCCACTGGACTCTAGAGAAGTGGAGACGTGTTCTCTGGAGAGACAAATCACGCTTCTTTGTCTGGCAATCCGATGGACGTGTCTAGGTTTGGCGGTTGCCAGGAGAACGGTACTTGCCTGACTGCATTGTGCCAAGTGTAAAGTTTGGTGGAGGGGGGATTATGGTGTGGGGTTGTTTTTCAGGGGTTGGGCTTGGCCCCTTAGTTTCAGTGAAGGGAACTCTTAAGGCATTACCATGCCAAGACATTTTGGACATTTTCTCGCTCCCAACTTTGTGGGAACAGTTTGGGCATGGCCCCTTCTTGTTCCAACATGATTGCGCACCAGTGCACAAAGCAAGGCCCATAAAGACATGGATGAGCGAGTTTGGGGTGGAGGAACTTGACTGGCCTGCACAGAATCCTGAACTCAACCCGATAGAACACCTTTGGGATTAATTAGAGCAGAGACTGCGAGCCAGGCCTTCATGTCCAACATCAGTACCTGACCCCACAAATGCACTTCTGGAAGATGCGATGATACCTTTCTTATTATATATATATAGTATATATATGCACTGTGCAAGTGCATTTTTTAAACTTGGATGGGTTTTACTCTTCCGCAGACAACAACATTGCAACATTGTAACTTTGTAGAAAGTCACAAGGTAAGATTGGGGATGATCTGTGCCATTAAGATTTACATGACTATGTCACCTCTGAGCCAGCATCATAGTCTAGTAGATAGATGCTGACCCTAGGTGATGCCTGAAGAAAGATGGCTCCATTCTTCTGGAGAGAAACATAGATGAAGACATAGTCAGGGGGAGCACTGTGATCTCTGAGAGGTAATAAATACCTGTAAGCGTTACACTTACATGTTACTTATTATGCATGCACTTAACATGAAAACATATCTGATGCTAGGTCCACTTTAAGCATCTGCAAGATAGAATATTTTAATAAATACATGACCCCTGAAGTTATCATGTGTCCTTCTCTGTGCAGAATAGCAGTTGTAGAAGCTGTGTCTTTCCAGAGCCAGCCGATCACCTACAGCTTGCTGATGAATCCCAGCAGCATCTTCATCATTAGCCAGGAGAACGGAGAGCTGAGCCTCACCCATGCCGTGGACTATGAGAGTGAACACCACCTCTACCACTTGTTGGTAAAAGCTGTGGAGGCCGACAGTGGACTCAGCTCGGTCACTGAGGTAACTACTTCACTTTAATGACAAGATTACTGGTACCACTTAAAGCCAACCTGCACTTTGTCCTTACTAGTCAAGAACAGGACCTAAAGTAGCCACTACATACCTTCTCTACACTTCACAGCTGCCCCAAATTCACAGCCACACTACTGAAAATATACCTGGTACTTCTGGGAATGAGGGAGCATGCCACATTCCCTCTGCCTGGCCGCAAAGCAGCCTCTGTATCTGAGCTACCATCACTAAGCCTAAGTGCTGTTACATAGGGGGGTGTCATAGTCCTATGCACATTTTGTTGGCCTTAGAAGTTCCACGGAACACTTAAGTGGCCAGGTAGAAGAGCACAGAGAAGGTAAGTACTGATTGCTTATGATCACATGAAGTGAGCCTATTAGTTTGCCAACTTTGGTAAATCACAAAATTAACCCTAATAGTTATTTTTATACACAGGCAATATTCATCCACTAATGCTTCATGATGTTAATATATAGTAAAGCTAACCACAAATGGAGCAGTAACGGTCAAAGTTTGATATGTCAAAGGTGGCCATGAAAGCTGCGCTCATTAAGATCAGAAACCCACAATTACACATGCCAGTAGTGCTAACTTCCCACCTATTGCTATGGTCCAGTTATTGGAAAATAAAAGATGGCCTAGCAAAGCAGATTTCATTGTGACCATTTTGTTCAGAATTGTTTTGATGTTTGGACCATCCAGTACCAGTTATCTTCTCTTTTCAACCATAGGTTTACACACTGATTTTATTCAGAATCTCTCTCTCTCTCTCTATCTCTCCTAATGTACACAAGCATACCTTTTATCTCTATTCTCTCACTGCTTTGCTGCTCTTATCTTTGCTTTTAGTGACTGGTTTCTTATTTTCTCAGGTCATGGTTCACATCATAGATGATAATGACTGCTCTCCTGAGTTCCTAAGGTCTATATACAGCCGAGACAATATTTTGGAGAATATCCCTGTGGGGACATCCTTGTTACAAGGTAGAATAACCTCCTGCATGTATGCAAAGCATGTAAAGCAGATAGCACAGTCAAATGACCATCGTACTATAAATCCTCTCTTGTTGCACTTTTAATGTCGGATCCACAGAGCTGAAGTTACTACAACTTTAACAACATACATTAAAAATAAATATCATTTTTTTAAATTTCACTTTAAAGCAATTAATCAATTGACTGCTTTGGGTAATTAAAAACTATCACCACCACAGCCCCTGTAGCGTTGTATTATTTGTGCAGTGCTACTAAAAGGTCTCTACATGTATCACTCACTGGTGTTACTGTCATATTATGGGCCAATACGTCTTCCCACTTCCACCTCCCACAAAAATATGATTCTTAACCAAATGGACATTTGGAACCAACAAAAGCACTTCCTTTTCAAATTATAAATCAGTGTGTCCTTTAAATAAAACCAGTACTGAACTGAGGCTTTCATTGCTGATTTCATTTTGAGAATGTTGGTTGCTGGCTCCATAATTTTACTGACAATGAATAAGCGCACAGTTATGAAAGTAAAATGTAAGTTATTGTTGAAAATGCAACAGCATAGATATGATTGTATTAATTGTGTAATTATGTATTTTGAGCTGTAGATGGCGCTGTAGTGCAATGCTAGTCTATGCTAGTCTTTGCGTGCATACTTGTCTATAATACATAGGTAGTTTTATCGATATGTTTCCTGCTTAATGCTGTATTCCCATTTTTTGTATCCTGTATTCCTATATACATGTATACAACATTCTTCTAAGCAAGTAAAACTTAATTCAGCATTCCTTAAGATCTCAGCGCTTCATCTAAAAACATAACTAACAGTTATAACTCCTGATCTGCATACCTGTTCCAGTTCAGTGTCTCAGAAAGTACTACAACCACTGGACAAGCATGGCCAGGCAACTATGTAGTCTTACTATGTCCTCCTGGACTGGCTGGCTCTTCTTCCTCACTATACTTACTTCCCAACTAACCCTACCCACTTTCTCTACTAGTTCCTGGATTTTTCACTTGATTTCTTCCTCTTCCTTATCCAATTGTGCCAACCTAATTTGCCCTCTGTTTACTAGCTAATGTGGTTGTTAAAAGACTGAACAGGCTAATCAAAATGCTGTGATCGACCTGGATTTGTATTGATGTTTATTAGGGATGCACAGATACTTTTCGAGTACCAGTGCAGATACTTGGCATTTTCATGAGAACTACCAGGGTTGCAGCGGTTACAGCTGGGATCTGGCTCTGGTACTCCACCACTGTCCTGAAATCATTAGTCTGTATTGTTTTAGAAAAACTGTCACATGACAATAAACAAAAATGTATCAGTACTCGTACGTACTCGGAAAGTACCAGTACTCGTACTCGCAAAACTGGTATCTGTGCATCACTTTATTTATATTTATAAAAACAAAATCATACAATAAAACAGAGATGTACAAATCCCAGGAGCTCCGTGTACTCCTTACAAATGACAGCTGCCTCCTAATTTTTGAATTTTTCTCTAGTCTAGTCTTGGAGCTCGAAAGTATCGGTACTTATACTTGTACTTGTACTGAGTACTGTACTTGGTATCTGTGCAACCCTAATGTTTATGTAAGATGCTATTCCTATTCTTTTGTGAGTATTTGTCTTGTTATTCATATCAACTTCTTAAATAAGCAATAAAAAAAAGAGATCAGCAATTGTAGCCTCCATAGCTATGTTGGTATACGTTTCCTATAAAGTGACTATGTCACTAAAACTATTTCACCAAAAAAGTCAGTCTGCAAAAGGACAATAATATTACTTACCGATCTTGCTGCCGTTGATTGGAATCTTTGCTGAGCTACAGCCACTGGTAGGATCCTGATCATTAAACACTTTGGCTGTGTTGGATGACTGCTCCTAGCAACCTTGCATGCTCTGGCCAGAATGGAGGCACATGTGC